ACAGCAGTATTATAATCAATCTAGGGTCAAATGTAAAAAGTATTAATTCCACAAAAAGTGTAAATGTTCTAAAAAAATGGCCACGCAGTCAGCGACTTACCAACATGCCGGATATGATAGACGATAATATTAGATATTTTTTTTGGGTGGGCACCAGGCTTTCTGGAGTAGGCCGTGCACACCCCTGCTCCCCATGCCTTTATTCAGCATCTTCAATCTTCAATCTTGTTCCACAGTTGTGCCCCACTATCGACACCACAGTATACTAATCAGTAGTATACTCTGATCGACACTCATAAAGGTGAACATAGCGGCTAGTGAGTCGGATCGGAGCATCGTGTTCTCTTACTATCCATCCGCCTGGATATGGATCATTTAAATGTGTCGGTACATTGTGACTGAAGTGCGACAGTGCTCCATCATGCATAAAACGCATATGATCAGTTAGATTAACTCGTGTTATAGATCGTCAAACAATTCCACACAAAAGCCTTCAAACTGTAACACCTCCCGGATAAACTAATCTGCACCTCCGGATAGATATAATTACTCCAAAGCGATGTGGGTGAACCGACACTTCATTTCAATTATCCAGTGAGTTGCATGTGACGTTTCTAGCTTCGCGGCTCCAGTAACTTTCTACTTGTCTACATTTCACGCACAGCTGCGTAAACAGAATTAGGAAAACATAGAACATCTCCGGAGGAACTCTTGTTGGAACACGCTCGTTAAAGAGGCGATAAAAAAGAAGCAAAAACCTTAAATATAAATAAACAATTATTTTAAATTGTTGAAGTGTGTCGTTAGAGACGACGCCTGATTCAGAACTAAGTACAAATTAGTACGGTTTTAATACAAAGCTAAATAAATAATTGATTCTCGACCCCTTCTAAAGTCACTTCTAAATCTGGAATGAACATTGTGTGGGAAATACATCTGGACCTGTAAAAATTAGAATAGCCGAGCACAAAGATATTGGAGAAATCGAGAATTCGCGATGACGTTTGTGAAAACCTGTAATTCAATGGTATTCGACCAAATTTTGGAGAATCTTTAGTAGAAGATGCTTTTATGCTTCCTAAATTTATTCAATTTTACAATAATAATTGTTTACTTCTGGATTTTCTTGTCATTCACTATAAAAAAGTCTGGCGCGCTAGTCCGCTGTTAAGCGTTGAGTGAATAGTTCACTCAACGCTTCAAGTGATCGACTCGCACTGTTGCCAAGTTGTGATTAAATTTCCCAGTTCATCGTATTCGATTTTAAAAACGATTAATGTTACGCCCGTGTAATATGCAACTTTTTTATTCATTTAGGCTTAATCTATCTTACGCTGAAGGGCCTACGGATTAACTACAATACCCCTCAGACTTGAGACTCTTGAATTTCCATCATTTCTCAAAAAAAACAATGTCGCTGCTCGATAAACGAAAGTGGACTATTAAACATCACTCGCGAATGTGTGCGTGCGCCTTTTCATCAGACACTCTCCCCTGGTGGGTTGTCGAAGCCATGTCGCCTGTTCAGAGAAGGCGGTGAGCATTTAATTTACTTTAGGGGAAATTAATTACCCGCCCCGTTTGGTGTAGAAGTTCCTAGTTCGCTATGTACATAATTATTTGAACGCTGTTGTTGAAGACTTCGATTTGTTAATACGTTCGCTGGTTAATCATAATTGAGGGGGAGGCGGGGGCTACGACTTGCCTCAACTAGCACAAAGGCTTGTTTTTCGTTTATAGGCCAGTCAAATTTCCGAAAATACCTCGTTTTTTGCTAAAATTTACTTCGGTAAACAGAGACGTAAAAATTAAGAAAAATTTCTTAGAATTGATGAACTTATCCACTTTTTCCCAGTTGAATTTTAGGGCTTCATTTTCAAAATGGTGTCCAAGGTTTGCAAAAAACATTTTTTTTCATTAAAAGAAAACTAATAATTTCAAAAAAAAAATGTTTTAGACTGAAGTTGTAGAACTTCTAGTTTTAAAAAGAAAAAAGATATTTTTACTAAACTCTCGGAATATGTAGTCCTTGGCAAGTAGAATAATAGACCAAGAAAATTAAATTTTTACACGAAAAAAGTCCTATCCGCAAGATTATTGTAAAGTTGTCTAAAGGAACATAATACAAGACATCTCAACCCTCAACTTGTCATAGGTTTTATAACATTTTAACAATAAATGCGATAGTTATAAACAAATTAAGAAATGGGCACTTTTCTTGTTTTTTTGCAATAACTTTTTTGTTTATTAACCGTTTTTAATTTAACAAGTCTCATTTTGTAGATAATTTTACTCCCTATAAGCTGTCTGTGAGTCACTTTTCGCTAAAATAGAAAAGTTAGCTAATAAATGGTTTTGACTCACGAGATGAGATGTTTCCTTTAGACAATTTTACAATAATCTCGCGGATAGGACTTTTTCGACTTTCTCTTTTATTTTCGCTAATTTTCCTGGTGTATAAGTGCATTTTTGTAAATTTGCAAAATATGTATTTTATAGTTTTTGCAACAATTGAGTTTTTCAAAAAAATACATTTTTTTCAAGTTTCAACAAATCATACACTAATGCACTTACTTGACCCATTTTAGACTTAAAATTTACTCCAAGAGTTGTACTGTTCCTGTGCAAATTGTGCGCGTATTGCAAAATAATTGGAAATATGTGAAAAATCTACCAAATTTTGACATTTTTTATCGGGTTGAAAAATGTAGATCTTTTTCTTACCGTTGAAATTTAATCGGAATGACATTATTGCCATTTGAAAGCCGACATTTTTTCACGAACTTAAAGAAATATATCTTTTTTTTTTTTCGTTTTAAAGATATAAAAGTTTTAAAAAAGGCGATTTTTAGTCGTTTTTTGCAAAAACTCATCGAGCTGTGCTCAAAATTTTTGTTATAAAAAATTCTACAGCTTTTATCTAAAACATTATTTTCTAAAATTAAATTAAGGAACTGTGAATTGCATTTTTAATTTGCCCCCCTTGGATTCTGTGCTAACGGCGTCCATGCCGTAAAGTTAAAACTTTTCAATTTGTCACAAGTACAATTTAAATAAATTATACACTTTTAATTACGGATGGATCCTCTACAAGCGTACGGTCGAAACATCCAAACACTTTTGTGTAATTAATTTGGAATTACTGAGGAACTGCAAAGCAACGCCTGGAGTATTATTGGCTTTAGATTGCAAGTGTGCTCTTGTTTGAACTTCAAATATGCACTGGATACGTCTGAGAGGCACTTTGTCCCAAGAAATACGAGCCAGTTTAACTGATAGTTCACGATTTAATTTGCCCGTGATTGTATATTCGATATTGTCAAGCATACAAAAATACAAATATTTTGTAGTGTTTAAAAAAGATGGGAATACATTGTTGGATGAATCTTGGGAAACAATAACTCTACATCGTTTTATAACAATTTTATTAATAAATATAGTATAAAACAGAACCGTAATAGCATAAAATACGTCAAATATTTAAAAAAGTAAAAATATCTACGTTCCTATAAGCGAATACATGGATATAATAAATTGTCATAAAAGTATACAATAGGTAGACAAATAAAACTTTTTCTGCGAATGACAAAATGGATTAGAATTTTGTTGGAAATAATTCATTATTCCATCAAACAGAATTAAAATTCGTTTAGCAAAATGGAAATAAATTCAATTTAAATTAATATAATTATTTTGTACTGTTGCATTATTTACATTATATTCGAAATACACACAATCTCCTATAAATACTTAGCTGTTAGCATCAAATAAGTCCAACAAACAATGGTAAAAAAATATATCACACTTCTATTGTGATGTGATGTTACGTGATGTCTTTTACAGAGCTTTTAAAGGAAATACAAAAAATATAAAACTTAATTTTAAATGTCTTAAACATGGGCGTAGCCAGGAATTTATTTAAGGAGGGGGGGCTGAGAGCCAGTTTATTAACAAAAGTACAAAGGAAATCATGTTTTTTTTATTCTTTAATAAATTATACACTCTATTTGCTTTGTTGATTCAATAATTTCTGGCGAAATTAAAGTTAATTCTTCCATCTCAAATAATAAATAGTTATTTTTATGGATTTAAATAGGAACAATATGGCGATTACTGTGTACCTAAGTTATTTACTTACGCTCGTCTCATAACAACCACAGACGACCTTATGAAATTATTATTATTCATGAAAAAAGTATTATACAATTTTAATAATATAAAATAAAGAGCTTTGTTTTCTGTTATGATAAAATTAAAATTGATCGGCGAAAAAAATATGTACTCAACAGAAAAGTAGACTTAATAATGCATTGGCTGCTTTAATAGACAGTTTTGGAAAAATGTAATTTTTGAAACTTGCAACATGCAGCAATAATTAGGGGGGGGCTGCTCCCCTGGCTACGCCCATGGTCTTAAATGTACGTGCTAAACGTTATCACTAGAGAGCGGACAATGTGTGCCTTTAACCCGAAGAATAGGTCAAATTTTGGTAGAGATGTGTACGCGTTCAAAAATGTATTGTGTATAAACTATGCAAAATATAATTATTATGTATAGCAAATATATCGTATTATCCTCGCGAAGATTTGTACCCTTTATTTAAAATCCATAAATCATGTGAACAGGTTAAATAACGAGAAAACAATTAAGTTAATTTTGTTCTAAAGAAATGAAATGACACTCGCGCCCATCTCTAGTCCATTCCGTCGACATCGGTTGCGTTTATCGAATTCCTATTGGTCAGAATTCAAACTGCAGCCCTGTTATGAATGGAGCGTGAGTTGGACTATTCTATCATGTGCGTCGCCTGAGGTTATTCGTTACATTGACTCCTAATTTCCAATTAAAAGAACGACACTATTTTTAACCGAACTTTATTTAATAAATATGTAGTATACAGTTTCTGATTTTCTAAATATTTTATAACGCCTAAAAATGTATGTACCGTGGAATTTTCGTGAATTATCATGTAAATTTCCGATGCATACCCGACACGCCACTGCGTCATGGATAATGTATCTAGGTTTATGAATGACATATCTATGTTCAAGGTTAAAGACACAAATTGTCCGCTCTCTGGTTATCACTTCGTCAAGAAGACTTAATTTCGAGCTGCGTCAGTTCTAAAATATTGTCGTTATTATTTCTTAACTGGCAAGACATATTCCCGATGTAAATAGTCGAGGATAGTTGCCCAATAATATGATGTGGAAACAGTACGTAATTTGGCCGAATGCAAAGGAATACTGCAGTTTAATCAATGCTACTACACCCATTTTACTACTTTTTTGTTTACTATAAATCCCATACCAGACCAAATTAATACATAACTTTTTACTATCCAAAAAATGAAAGTTATACTTAATCGTCCTTTATATGTAACCCCCATTGACAAAAACTTCCATCAGTTTTTACGTCAAAGATATACTGGTCTGATATGGAATGGACTAACCTTCCAACATTTATATTTTATATTGAATTATTTTTAGGTCTATCTTTATGAGGAAGGTAAGGGTGGAGGGTTAGCTGATATTGGGGGTGTAACGGGGATTGGTAGATTTTGCGCTGGTAGTTGACCCTGAGACGCTTCGCGTTGCATGGCAAGTCTTCTGTTTAGTCTCTCCTTACGTTCCTCCCTCAGACTGGAGAAGAAGGAATAAAATGCGAAAAGGCCAAAACACTAAAATCATCGGTTTCGTTCATTATACTCGTAATCATGGTACAGAGAATGCCCCGACCAAAAATAGCCACCACAAACAATCTTGAAAGCGATATTTTGGATAATTTATTTATTACTAGTTCTTTTTTTTTAGAATCAAACCAAAAAGTGTTTAGGTTTTGAAATTTTATATCGACAAGTTGCTATTTTTTTTTATAAAATCAAACAAAATGCATATTGTTTTTTTTCTCACCCGGGCCTCACCATGGGTTAATCTGGCCCTGAATAATAAAATATATGTTTTTCTTTAACGTAATTTATTATCGAATATACTATTCAAATTGACCGCCACCATGTTATGTTCTGAAAATGTATACAAACTAACATTTTTGCGGATTTTGTCACAGATACCATAAACTTCAGATGCCCTCACAAAAAGAAACCTTAAAGATTCAGATCAGGTCACCTGACTGGCCATTCTGCAGGATTGCATCTTCTAACAGTTAGAAGGGGTCGGCAAGTAATTTTAGGTGGGGTCCGGATACTTTTGAAAAATTTTAACGAGGTCCAGAAAAAAATTCATATTTCTTATTTTTTTATTTTAATTTGGACTCAAATTTAATTTGCTTACTAACCATTAAGAACTCACACACTCACACAATTGTAAAATACTAGAAAAAATTATAAGATTGGCACTTAAACGTAAAAAACATTTTTTTAATAATTTATTTGAGTAATTTATACTTTCAAAAAATTTTTGGCGGTCCAGTATTTTACCTTCCGCGGTCCGNTGTGCCAAAAGTGGGCGCTGTAGGTGCAATAGTTTTCGCACAATTCTATTTGTTTATAGCGGAGGCTCCAAAAGTTATGAACTTTAAGCCTCTGTACAAACGTTAATTTTCAATCAAACATGATTCTGAAAGCGTCATTGTAATCTTAAAGACGCAATTAAGCGACCTATTAAAAAATATCACCGTATTTTTTGACATTAACATTCTCAAATTGTGCATTAAAAAACCGTGCGTTTTTCGCTTATAAACAATTTGAATAACATTGTTGTTATTTATGCTATCTCGCCGAAAATAGATGCAATGGATAGCTGGCAAAAAATACAGTTTTAAAATAAAAAAGTACCCTCTACGACCAACAGGAGACAAGATAAGAATTTTTTTTAAATCGCAGCACAATTGTTTATAAATATTAAGTTGTTAAATGAAATATTAATTAAAATTTCAATTTCGGAATTATTTTACTATTATTAAATAAATAAATGAAGCTATCGTTCATTTAAAGTTAATTTTTTTATATATTAAGTCAAAGTAAACTTATTTTTTCAATATTTTGTTAGTTATTTAATTACGATTTAAATGTAAAATTAAAGTAAAAATTCCCAAATTATTTTCAAATTATTATTTATTGTTAAAAGATTTAAAAAAGAATAAAAAGCATTTGAATTTATTGCAAAATTCTCAAAATTAAAAAATATTAATAAAAATAATGCGGTCGATAAAATTACAATTTTAACTTCTTGAAAGGCGATGAATTTGATTCCATATCATTTTCTTCTTCATTATCATATGAATCTTCTCCGTCATCTTCTTCTTCTGTAAATATTATAGATTCATCAGCCTCAGAAAATGTTTACTTTAATTTTACGTTTAAATCGTAATTAAATAGCTAACAAAATATTGAAAAAACAAGTTTACTTTGGCTTAATATGTAAAAAAAAACTTTTTAAGTCAACTTCATTTATTTATTTAATAGTAGTAAAATAATTCCGAAATTGAAATCTTAATTAATATTTCGTTTAACAATAATTTTTGTGACATTTTTGTAAATTAAAAAAAAAAATAAGTACAAAAGATGCGTTTTTTCTGGGATTCAGGGCTATTCTACGAATTCGTAAATACGCCCATTGTTATTTTTTCGTCGAGCTACCCCAGTTTAAAAAAAGAGAAGTTTCTACGACGAATAGAAGCCGAGATATTGCAGAATTGTTTTCCTCACTTATTTGTTTAAATAGAAAAGTAAACTATTAAAAATTTTTGACTCACGAGATGAGAGATGTTTTGTATTATGTTCCTTTAGACAATTTTACAATAATATCGCGGATAGGAATTTTTTCGAGTTTCTCTTTTTTTTTGCTAATTTTCCTGGTCTATAAACCTACCATCTAAAAATTGTCAAATTTACCACGATGATGATCGCTTTGAATAGTATATTTAATAATTTAGATTGTTTTCCGTTAGTTCTCTCTTTCCAACACTAGAGTAACAAAACTAACGAATAATTTTAAAAATACAGCTGTATAAGCTTCTAATTTATTTATTTATTTTTTAAGGTTATAGGATACTCGAATAAAAAAAATAAAGTACTGTCTCTAAGGTTCTGGTCGATACTGACCTAAGAAATATTATTTCAAATAAAGTTCGCACGAGAAAAATCGAAAGATGAAATTCATATTTCAGGATTATTAATCGCTAAAACAGTATACTTAACTAACTTTAGTAAAAATAATTATTATAGAATTAGAATTATATTATAGAATTACGATATTCAACCGTATATGTTCCTCTTAAAAGCGAATTTGATTTTTCGTATTATTTTCAAAGTTGCTCGTGATAGCTACTTTATTTGTGACACCCTGTACATGTTTTAGTAATAACAAATGTAACAAACTTTTATTACCCACCTGAAATATTCCGGAAATAAATCCAATCAAAGCACCGTCCAACAATATCCGTTTTACGTACTTCACAAGGGGTTTTTGGCACCCCTCTTCATAAATGTATTGAATAGTAACATTGGATAATTCCGGATTTGTACAAGAAAAAGGTGTGCTGTTGTGTTTCGATGAATAATCGGTTACTCCATACAACCCACAACATTTTAACTAAAAACAGTTTATATTATCGCATTATCAAAATGAAATTGTACTTATTTAAAAAAAAAAAAAAAGTTGGCAGCTGTGAGTTTCGAACCTGCCGCTCTTTCTGCTGCTACCTAAAATTCAGCGACTAAACCGTTTGACCTAACAACCTGTGTAATTTCGTGAACTGATAACACAATACTTACATCACTTTGTAGTTTAGACCACTCTTTTTTATCGAAATTAATCATTTCCTTAAATGACACTCTCATCAATTCCAGTGTCAGAATAGAGATCTCATCCCATAGTATCATCGACCATATTCCAACAGCAAATTCACAAACTAATAAAATTAGTGTAAATACCATAAACTGCAAATTAACGTAAAATAGACACCTCGTTAATTACCTATTGATTTCGATTACCCACCAGAACAATGTGAAAATTGTGCTCCCTTGTGGGGCCTTTAATTCCCAGCCAGGTCAAGAATAAATGTAAAAATCCGAGTATAAATATCACAATAAAAGGTCCAATCGTGTCCGAGGGCACAAAGTTAAAATGATACAAAACTCTGTACGACAAAATTACAGAGAAAGTAATTAAAAGAATGCCTGAAATCTAAACATAACATGCAAAACAAGGTCATTAATATAAAAAAATACCTACTTACAAAGAGTAATCCTGAATATGTTAAACACAAAATTTCTTTGCACTTTAAAGATACCATATTTACATGGAAAAACACACTTTAGGGCAAAAATCAGATATTGTTGTATACAATAAGATTTACTCAATGTTACGTTTATATAAAAACCACTGCACAGAATCACATCATCAAAATAAGAAGCTTTACAGATTTTCATTCATTACGATTCAATTTTACTACTCGTAAGTCATAACAAAATCAAGTCATAAACTGTTAACAAACTAACAACTAATTTATTTATACATCAAATATTTATTGAGGTTATTTTAGTAATGCCTAAAAATAACTGTACCTGTATTTACTTCTATTGACAACTATTTAACATTTTTTAAGGTATTTGATATGAAGTCGTTATGCAACCAGACTTACAACCTTTTGAATGCCTGGATGCAGCAATATGGTAGGATCTGATCTTAGTAGCTCAATTTACTCATTCTGTCATTCTTTAGCTTTTAAGTAAACAAACATGGAGGATGTAGTAATGTAATCTGTCACTTGAGATATTTAAAAATTGTTATTTTGTGATATATAACTACATAATTAAAATGTATACATTATTGCATGGATTTTATAAATATATGGTACAAAAGGATGAATTCTGCGTGCTTATTCTTGGATTGGATAATGCTGGAAAGACTGTGAGTACCATATAATAAAAACTGTTCTCAATTTTAAATAAAGAAATCCATTTCCAGACGTATTTAGAAGCGGCGAAGACAAAGCTGACGAAAAACTACAACGGTATACATCCCACAAAGATAACAACTACAGTAGGGTTGAACATTGGTAAAATAGACCTAGCCGGTATACGCCTCAATTTTTGGGACTTGGGAGGGCAAAACGAACTACAATCTTTATGGGATAAAGTATGTAATCGTTCTTTGATGAATTCAGTCCGATAAATTTCTCGTTTTTAGTATTATGAGGAATCTCACGCCATTATTTACATAGTAGACTCTTCAGACAGAGACAGGATAGACGAATCTAAAGAAATATTTGGTATAAGCAAAAAAAAATTTATTCTAATACATTTTTTCATACGTAAGTTTTTTGTAGATAAGATGATAGCGAGTGAAGCTTTACAAGGCATTCCGTTGTTAGTATTAGCGAATAAACAAGATATTCCCGAGTGTATGGGTGTGAGAGAGGTCAAGCCGATATTTAATAAAAACGCGCATCTTATAGGGAAACGGGACTGCATGGTTATGCCAGTTTCTGCATTAACAGGGTAAGGCACAATAATTACATCCAAAGCGAAATGGTTTTGTATTTGAAATTTAAAAATAACAGCTATAAGTGTGAAGTTAGTAAAAATTGGTTCTAATAAATTATTTGCTGCCAAAATACTAAACAGACGTAAGATAATAAAAGAAATCATTATCTGTCATGTAAGTAATATTTTATCTAGATTATTAGCTTGATAAAAAGCCTAATTTAATGCAATAAATATTTCGAATTAATTTATAAACTTACGAGTAGGCAATAAACACAAAAACTTTTTTAATTTAGTTTTGATTTTTAAAATGTAATGTTTATTGTACATTTTTTATATTTTTTATAAATGTATGGGCACCGCTTCGGATAAACCGTTATTCTGAAATCGATAAATATATAAATAATTTTGTTTTTATGATCTGAAAATTTTTGAATGCAAAAATAATTGCAAACTTAATTTTCACCTATTTTCAACGAACTGTTTGTACTTCAACCTTAAATTTTTAATCGTAAACGGTCTTTAATGCCTAAAGTAATAGTCGAAAAATAGAAGCACAAAACTGACAACAAAGTAAAACGAGAATATCTTTGGAATACGGGAATAAACACAGTTTTTCTTTAGTTTAGTTTTCAAAATCTAGTCAAAAACATTTTTCTAATAGTAGTTTTACACAGGCAAAGGAATTGATACATATTTTGTCCTTGAATAATTGTTATTGTAATATATAAAATTGTCATTAATTTTATGATGACAATAATTTCATGAGAAAATTGTAATAAGGACTGGCTCTAATTTTTCAACAATTCTTTGGTGAATTTGGTTTACATTTATATTCAAAGATACAAGTCAACTGTGTTTCTAATAAAACTGATTAAACATTTTAATTGGTCTTGATTGATTCTCTTGAAATTATTTTAACTAAATTCACTGAGTAAAAATTAAAATGCGTAAAATACCTAGCAATATCAATAAGTTCATCAACTTGAGGATATATTTTTTTGATTGGTGTAAAACTGCTATAATATCCATTACTTGGATATTATAGATAGTAAAAGTGCATTTCCCGATTTAATGTTGATAATACTAGAAATTAACGATGAAAATCAAACCTATTTAAGGAAACTTTAGGATGGACAATAGACAAAGACGAAAATTTAAAATTAAATTTTATATAATATTTGTTTAAAGGGTTTCACGGCACATGTTGATATTTAAAGCACGATGGTTTCTTGTGCTAGGCTCTGTGGGGGCTGAACCGCCATCAGAACCCCTAGGTCCGTTCTGATGTTCATTTTGGTTCTGGTCTAAGCCCTCAGTCACGGCGAAGCTTTTATAGTCGCCAATGAAAGTGCCGACAGTGAAGGATATGGCAAATTTTTTGGAAGCGAACGGTTCCGGCCTTACAACCAACAACAAAAACCAAAATCAATATCAGGGCAAGCCTAGGAGTTCCAGTGGCGGGTCCGCCCCCACAGTGCCCAGCCCGAGAACAACATGAACAAGTCAGAGATTAAGTTGTTACGACTAAAAGGCAAAGAATCAACCAAACGATCAAAAACTGGTTTAAAAAAATACAAAAATTCTTAACAATTTAATCTAGTTCGGTATTGTCTCAATTTAGCTAATCCAATTGCTAATAAAGATAAAAAATTTTTGCCACAGTCCTTTATCTATTTCATATCTATCGGGTCTATGGTAGGGTATCGCGAGAGTAAATAAAATTTTGCTTCAGGGAAGGAGTAGACGAAGGAATACGGTGGCTGGTAGATTGCATCAAAAGAAATGCATACCTGAGGCCACCCAGGAACGACCAGGAAAGTTAGCACCGGTGGAAACTAGACTGATAATTTTTTAAATGTTTATGTACATGGTATATATTAATATTTATAAGTGTAAATAAACCCATTTCTGTACAAGCATTGTTTGTGTGATAGGCGTTCCATTATTTAACCATAAAACCGCGCGGAACCTCAGATAAATTGATAATAAAATGTGTAACTTTCTTATCTCTGTTATTTATTATCGAAAGAGTTATAGAGGATAATGAGTTTTCCGGAGTTAGGTGTCGCGTGTGCCCATTTTTTATGCGACTTTTAAAAAATGTACCCCTATTTCGAGTCGGATTGGAGCGTTTTGCCTCCAGAGGCCAACCGAAGGTGAGTAAATTCAAAAAATTAAATACCTACCAAAAAAATGCAAAAATACCTCCATTTCATTTCGACCTGTCTTTTTATTCGAGAAATTCGACACATTATCGATCCGCCGCCGTTTTTATTAATCGAATAAAATTTCAAACGACCGTAATTGAATTAAATTAGTGGATGGAACAGCTGAATTAGTGAGTAGGTGTCTAGAATCGTCATTGAACCCTCGTCAATTTTTTCGACGTCGACAGATCCACCGAGTCGTGACGTCACAAAGCCGGCCATATTGCGATAGCCGTAACGTCAATTCGATGGGATGGTCTAACAAAAAATAATAATTTATCCGTTTTGTTAAAACTTTAAGTTGCGAACTGAAAAAATTAGGTTGTTTAGTGGGTCTGTGTTATCAAGTTAATTTATTAAATAGACTGAGGCCGCGTTGAAACTGTTAAGTACACATTCATGTCATCTGTCAAATAAGGCAAGGTGTAAAAAAAAAACAGGTGAATTTTTGCTGTAAAGTTGTAAATAATCAATTTACAAAGGATTCTCGTGTGGATTAAAGTGTTATAATCAATTTCTAATAGAACTAGAGACACAACAACGTACCGCCGACTGTATATCGCAGGTTTTTAATAAATGTTTGTGTGTTGCTTAGCAGATTGTTAACCTGATTTTTGCTGTGTTATTTCATCAAAAACTAATATGAACGCCTCAGAGCATGGGTAATTCACTTAAACCACTAAAGTTTGACGTTTTTTATTTACTAATAATTAATAATTCTAGATTTAATCCAGCCTTTAACATGGCTACAATCAAACAAGTCGTTAATGAGGCTATTGAAAGAGGTATGATTAGCTCGTATGTTACACATCAGACACTGATATCGTTTATTTATTTAAGTTCGAATGCCTACCCCTATGCGACTGCGGGACCTAATAAGGCAGATTAGGGCAGCACGTACAGCGGCAGAAGAACGCAGTGTTGTCAATAAAGAATGTGCCTATATAAGGTCTACCTTTCGAGAAGAGGACTCAGTTTGGAGGTAATGTATTATTAATTTAATTAATTCTTTTTCTTGCTGATGAAATTGAGTGCTGACTGCCTTTTACTGTCTATTAAATACAGTTTAAAAGATGTGTGTGTTCAAAAGAAATTTATAGATATTAGGGAATTCCATAATTTGCGCTACAATACAAGTTTTCTTGCAATTGGTATTCTGTGTACATTTCGGGAAATAACGTTAAACCTTCTTGGAAACGATTATCACAGACTGACAGGTGTATATTAGCATTTCAGATATTGTTCTCTGTATTTTTAATGTTAATAAGCTTTTAATGACTCATGACTTATGTATGAATGCACTGATAGAAATTGTATTTGGCAATCACCTTGCGATACTCAGTCTGGGGTTTATCGTTACTCAAAGCATAAATTAAAATTTTAATCTTTTAAACAAAAATATTCCTTTTGAGTATAAATGATTTTTTTTGTCCAATAACATTTTCATAGGAGATATAATTTATAATTTATTGTAATAATATTTTCTGATGAAATTATATAAACATTCTCAGGAGCTGAAAGTTATTGAGAAAATAATTACGTCTGTTATCAAGTTAAGCCAATTATTGCCCTAAAAATAAATTTGGTAAGTTAAGTTATTGATTACTAAAACTTTACTTACTTTTCATTAAAGATGACATGTTTAACAACAATGTTTTAACTTTACATTACTTTTTACATCGTTAACGCTATTAGTCTCGCTTTTAGCTCATTTTGTACCTGACAAGGTACAGAAAGATTGTGAATATTCAAAACATCTTCCTGTATATAAAACATGGATATAGTTTTGATATCAAACTAATTTTGAAAACATCACAAGAGTTATGTACCATATCGATGATTAATGTCTTATCTATAGTAAATATTGTGTACAGGTGCTTTAATCCTTATTTATATATGCGTTACAGATATACCAGTTTTACGTAGTTACTAAATATGATAAAAAAATATATAATATGTATGTTTTAAGTTTTGTCGTAAACATAGCTCTACAAACTTTTGATTAACATTATTTAATAATTTTTCAAAACGCTATTCTATTCTAACACTTGGTTTATTTTCTTATAAATATATTCTGTATGAATTAGACATTATTGTAATTATTTCTAGGTACTAAAAATTTTTCTAGGCTGAGAAAAATCCCCAAAGCAAAATTCCTTAAAATATTTTTACAGTAAAACATTCTAACTAATTAATACTGTATGTAAACAGCAAACCTTATCCTTTAATTAAAATGGCCTTTGGCATAACACTCGTAATAATAATAATGATTGTAATGTCACCAAGGTCGTATTCTAGAAATTTATTTTCAATTTGCGTTTGTCCTTGAGGGAGTCAGTGGTACTAAGTGATTCAAAAGGAAAATCCAGTCGAACGTCCATTAATGTTTAATTAAAGTAACCCGAGTAATAAAATAACCTCAGAAAACTTTGATTAAAATTGTTTACGCAATACAAACAAAAAATTCTCTTTACGTAATAGCAATTAGATAAATTTAATGTAGTTAAAAGATGAAGGGAACCTATAACGTTATTATGCATTATCGTAAAATCACCCCTGCTCTGTAACAAGGTAATAAAGAGTGACAGGCATTGATTATTTCCCTGTAATCTTTTATGAAGCCGTTAACCTTTATTAAATTTGATGGGCCTGCTACACAAACAGGAGAATATTGGTGGCAGAGATACAATGCCTTCATTCTCAGGAGTCATTGGAGGAAGGGGGAGAGAACTAATAGTGCCTGAAGCGTTATTGATTCTGATTCCGGGCTCACGAAACCCTTCACTGCTTAATGAATGAACCACTCAACATGGCATTGTCGATTTTTTTTTTTTTGTTGATTGGGTTCTAAAATTTTTCGGATTGTGGGTGAGATATAACCTACAAAGTATATATCTTGTCTTAAATGCCATTGTTACTTGATGCCTACTGGTGCAAAACATTGCTTTGTACCTACTGGAAGAATAATCTACTAATCTGGTGCTAAAAAATGTTAGCATCACTTGACATGGACTGATTTTAACTGTTTGCTAGACGTTGGAGTTGTAATTCAATGATTAGTTCATCGTTTTCCACAATATCATTAGTTATTTTCATAGCACCTACAAATTAGGTCACTATGTCAGTAGGTACAAAGTAAGTAGGCATCGATTAGCAATGACATTTAAAATATGACATATACTTTGTAGGTTATATCTTACCCACACTCAAACCACATCGGTAGATATGCTGTATATTTAGTTAAAAAATGTTTCAGATGTCGGAACATAGCGAAACTGTTGTACATACACATGCTGGGCTATCCGGCTCACTTCGGTCAATTAGAATGCTTGAAGCTTATCGCCAGCACCAGGTTCACAGATAAGAGGATAGGATACCTGGGCGCGATGCTGCTGCTCGACGAACGACAGGACGTTCACTTGTTGATAACGAACAGCCTCAAAAAGTAAGTTGAATGATTTTTGTAACCTATTTTTTTTTTGATCGAACTTGTACCTTTACCTTAAATTCTTAATGATATCTTGGACATTTTTTTTTATGTCCTTTAGTGATTTGAATTCCACCACGCAGTTTGTCGTGGGGTTGGCGCTCTGCACGTTGGGGGCGATAGCCTCCCCGGAAATGGCGAGAGATCTAGCCGGGGAGGTGGAAAGGCTGATGAAGTCCCCCAACGCCTACATACGTAAGAAAGCCGCCCTGTGCGCTTTCCGTATCATCAAGAGGGTGCCTGAGCTGATGGAAATATTCTTGCCCGCAACACGGAGTTTGCTGTCTGAGAAAAATCACGGTAGGTGTACATTAATTGTCAAAAATTGGTGACAAGCAGGATTAGGTTATATTTTTTTCCAGGTGTGTTAATTACTGGTGTAACTTTAATAACGGAGATGTGTGAAAATAGTCCCGATACGTTGAACCACTTCAAGAAGGTAAGTTGTCAAACTTTCTTTTTTTTGGGAGGGAGGGTTTAACAAATCGTAAATACCGTATCTAGTACTAACTTTTTGTTTCGCACTTTTTTAATAAACACAGTTTTAGTAGATTTATAAACTTCCAAGATAAAAGTTAAAAGTCCGTCAGTTTCTTTTAAGTAACTAATTTGAATAATTACATTTTTTTAATAGGGTCGTTTACCATTTTTTAAACTACCTTTTTCAAAAGACTTGCTTATAATATTTAACCTATTTAATTTTTTTTATTCTCCGTGTTTCCTTTTTTTGCAAAATATTTCACTTGTCGCATTACCACATCAGACATAATGTGTGAAACAATGAATAGGGTTAATTTTATTAGAAAAATACCTTTGGTTGTTTGTTTTTTGACCACCTAGCAAATTGTTGTCATGTCTCATCAGGTGTACTAATATGTAGTTCACTTGGACTAGATTAGTGTCAGACACTGCAATTCACAAAGTACAGTGCTTTATCTACTAGCCGCTACTATTGGCTATTCTTGGTACTGTCATATAGGTCACAGAATAAGATATTGGAGAATTACTGTACAATGAAAGATTTTAATTTTGTGCATGTCAAAAATCTAACTATGCTATTTACTAACCTTGTTTTATGTTTTACGTTTGTTCACATATGGAAACGACCCTATTCTAATATTGAAATTTGCTAACTCTGGTGTTTTGTTTAGGAAGCGTCTCCTAAACACGAGGTACCGACACGTATGTTACTGAATGTTTGTGCTTTTGTCGTCCCCTTCATGAGTCTTCCATGTATGCCCACTCTGTGCCTTCGCGACTTTGTTCTAATAGCTATCGAAGGGCCGCCTAAGTTCGTTTCTTACATTCCGAAATTCGAACAAAGTTCCAATCTTAGAAATTTCGATTCCTCCCTCTTGTACATAAAACCACCGAGATCGTACATGTACGCTTTCTGTGTGTCCCGATCCCCCGCAATACCCATTTACGCTTTGCCGTTTTTCTTTACAGATAGTGCCAAACCTCGTACGTATTCTAAAGAATCTAATATTGGCGGGGTATTCGCCGGAGCACGACGTATCGGGAGTTAGCGATCCGTTTCTGCAGGTAAAAGAAAATCATTGTTTTTAAATTAAATTTGAACGATTTTTTTTATGAAATTGGTTTCCTCGAAAGGTTAAAATACTGAAGTTACTGCGCGTCCTGGGTATAAACGATGTCGACGCTTCGGAGGCCATGAACGACATCCTGGCCCAGGTGGCGACCAATACTGAAACGAGTAAGAACGTCGGCAACACCATCTTATATGAAACAGTATTATCCATCATGGATATCAAATCAGAAGGGGGATTACGAGTAAGGCAATCGAATGATTCCGAGACATCGCACGTTAAAACTTTGTTTCCTACAGGTTTTAGCCGTCAACATTCTGGGTAGATTCTTACTAAACAACGACAAGAACATAAGATACGTCGCATTGAACACACTCCTCAGAACTGTTCACGTCGATACCTCAGCAGTCCAACGTCACAGGTCTACGATCTTGGAGTGCCTCAAGGATCCGGACGTTTCGATAAGGCGGAGAGCCATGGAGCTGTCGTTCGCGTTGGTCAACACCCAGAACATACGTACCATGATAAAGGAACTACTGACGTTTCTGGAGAAGTCCGACCCGGAATTCAAGGCGCACTGTTCCAGCAGCATCGTACTGGCCGCAGAGCGCTACTCCCCGAATAAGAGGTGGCACCTGGACACCCTGCTCAAGGTTCTGGTGGCGGTGAGTGCAACGGCCCCGTAAATAAACTCGAATTTTTATGCGTAAATGAAATTTAGGCGGGAAATTACATCAGGGATGACGTCATCAGCTCGACGATACAACTGATCTCCGAGAGCACCAACCAGCAGGCCTACGTGACCCTGCAGCTGTACCGGGCGCTGGCGGATGACTTCCAGAACAGGCAGCCGTTGACGCAAGTGGCAGTATGGGCGATAGGCGAGTTTGGCGACGCCCTCGTCCAGGCTTCCTTGGAGGAGGATCCCAACGGGAAACCTCCGACGGAGGACGATNGCTCGACGATACAACTGATCTCCGAGAGCACCAACCAGCAGGCCTACGTGACCCTGCAGCTGTACCGGGCGCTGGCGGATGACTTCCAGAACAGGCAGCCGTTGACGCAAGTGGCGGTATGGGCGATAGGCGAGTTTGGCGACGCCCTCGTCCAGGCTTCCTTGGAGGAGGATCCCAATGGGAAACCTCCGACGGAAGACGATGTCATCGATCTTTATCAGAAGCTGTTGTGGTCCCCCCAGAATACCGTCACGACCAAGCAGTACGCGCTGATGAGTCTGACGAAGCTCAGCACGAGGTTCAGCAATACCAAGTAAGTTTGTTTGTTTACGAGCCAGGCTCATTTTCTGTCTTGCATTACCGTCAGTCAATCGAGTACTTGCAAACGCTAAAAGGTAAAGTATAATAAAATACGATTATGGAGGATTAGAATATTATTTTAAAAAAACAATTAAAATACCGTTAAAAACTTAAAAAAAAATTATTTTGTCAAGATTAATGTGACCAGTAAGAATGAGCTCCAGTGTCGAAGTAAATTTTCTCTCGAACAAAATTCCTCAAAACAGTTTCAAAATAAATTTTTTTAAACTATTTAAAGACTAGTAAGTGAAATAATTTGAAATTGAGTACATGTATTTATGTAAACATTGTTCCAAATCTTAGGCGTTTTTCTAAAATTTTGATGTTTCCGTGGCGGAGTTGCAAGGTATCGGTGGCATATTTATGTAAATAAAATAGTACGCCACTGCTTTACGGTAACATCCATGATATTTTCGGATTCGTCTTTCAATTTTCTACAAATTACTTTATTGTTTTATATACTTTTATGTTTTTCGAAAAAAGCCTGATTTTCGAGTAAAACTTAAAAAACAAACTGAAAAACAGCGGAAACATATTCAACGTGTACATGTTTTCATTCTCAATTATGCAGGGTGTAAAAAGTTGTATATTACAGAGGCGTAAGATTAACTATTCAAAATACAGCGAGTATTAATAAAATATTGGGGAGTTTCATCACAATGTGCCAATAGCGCGTGCACGTGGCAGACTTGTCCTTTGGAAAAAATTTAAACAACTATTATCGTGAAACATTTAGTAAATTTCAAAATGATTGTTTTCCAGTTTTTAAATAAATAAAATAAAATGTATCGATTTTGTAGTACGAAAAAAGTGTTATGCTTTTATTTTAGCTCGAATGTTAGTAATTATGAATCTCTTAAAACAGGAACATAACTTTTAATCAAATTATGTATGTTATAAAAATATGTAATTAAAGTACCCAAAGATTCATGTCATCCAAATAATCATACGTATTAAAAATAATTTAGGGACTTGCCAAAAAGCAAAATTCAGTAATTTTTAAACTCACTAGTACAGAACAAACTACAACATATGCTCAAAATATCCACCACCATTTTCGATGCATGCACGACACCTTCGAATTGAATTTTGGTGCACTCGCTGCAAAACACCATAGAAAAAGGAAATAGTGGTACACAAAAAACACTCAGACATGGTCCAATTCCAGATACCAACTGAATTGCGTCGTATTGCTGGACAGGTTAGTACTAGAGACCGACCGATTAATCGGCATTGGCTTCGACCACATTCGGCCATTATTTAAACCTTTGGCTAAGAATCGGCTTTGGCCAAAATTAAGCTGAACTTTTCGCCGAAGCCGAAAGTACCGTTCGGGACGTCGCTGGACCTAACAAATCTAATCACATTAGGGTTAAATTAGCCCCTTAACACTACAAATAACACTGCCAGATTACAACAAAATTGGGTAAAAGGTGTTTAAGATATGTACGAAATAGCATTTTTTTATAAAAGATTAACACCCTGTATCTTGAAAACGAAGCATCTGTGGACTAATGTTTATATGAACTTTTTCTTTTAAAATCACTCAAATAATTGTCTGTTGAATTTTTGTACATACTTAATTAATTAATCTTGATGCGAAGGGTCCAATTAAAAACTAAAAAAAAAGCTAATTGGTGCGTTTTTCAGCAAAATTCAGCAGATCATAAGCTCGTTCTGTTCGAGCCTCCACGTGGAACTGCAACAGAGGGGCGTGGAGTTCTCTCAGTTATTCGGCAAGTACTCCAATCTGAGGCCCGCTCTGCTGGAGAGGATGCCGCCGATGGAGGTGGTCAGACAGTCGGAGTCGCAGGTTAACGGCGACATCAGCGACATAGAGACCAAGTCTGTCGGGGACAGTCCGCAGCACATCACGAATAACGAGTCGGTAAGTGGCGCACAATTTAATATTTCCACCGACGTTTTTTTTTCTAATTTCTATTTCAAATATTTGGTATTGAAATTCTATAATTTCTCTTAGAATGCACTGTTAGACTTGCTGGGGGGAACGGACGGCGGCCTAGACCTGGACATAATCGCGCCGAGCAGCCAGCCGACGCAGCCCGTCTCCACCAGCAACAACCAGGACCTGTTGGATCTGCTGGGGCTGGACCCGTTGCCCAGCACCCCGAGCACGGAGCCGAGCAACATGGGTCTCATCATCGAGAACAACAACAGCAACCTGCTGCCCGTCATGAATAACCAGAACTCGAATTTCCTTTCGGGCGATCTGTTCAACACGGATAGGATTAATGGTGAGTGACTTGACGGTTGTGTGTGGTTATCTGGCGAAGGTAGATTTTAACGTATAATTTATTGCGGTGTAACTTCGAACATTTGAAGTGGTTATTGCAAGGGGCCAAAAATAACTCGTATTCACAGAAATTTTCAATTTTGACCGAGTCGACGTTTTAAAGTAATTACTACGTGGTCCTTTTATATTTTAATAGAACTATTTTGTGTGGAATGTTACGTCAGACTAGTTTTAAAATTGCGGGTGCGTTTTGGGTGACCGAAAGGCATGTGAATGTATTCGCATTGTCCATGAAAGGTCCCTAAAAAAATATGCTGCGATTATATTTGTCATAACCATTAGGAAACAATTTGTTATGATGAATTAAGAGGTTAATTTCCTATTTTTTTATGTTAATTTCTCATATACAGGGTATCAAGATATTTCGATCAACCTTGGTTATAATAGAAATAAAATCGGTTATAACTAATCTTTAATTTTAACAAACAAGTTCGAACATCCCGTCTAAAATAAACAATGGAAATACCCGTTTATAAAGTGATTACGAGTATTATAATTTAGTAAAATTTGGTTACGATGATAACTGTTAACCGATTCAACCAAGTTTGACTAACTAGAATTTGTTCGAATTATCCGCTATTCAGATAGAAGTGTGTTTCCGAGATGTTAAAATACGTTTCCATGTTGCTTTTCCAGAAAGGGACGTGCCTACCATAACCGCCTACAACAAGGAGGGTCTGAAAATTATATTTTCCTTAGATAGGGTACCGGATAGTAATCAGTTGACGATAAACATGACTGCAACAAATCAAACTCTTTCAAACATGACTGATTTCCTATTCCAAGCAGCTGTTCCTAGGGTAAGACGCCGTTTTTATAGGGGATCGCCACGGTTTAATCGTCGATTTCTATTTCAGGCATTCCAAATACAGATGTTATCACCGTCGGGTTCCGTCATGGCGCCCAACGGTCAAGTGACGCAAGTCTTACGAGTCATGAATCCTAGCAGGGTGAGTGAGACTCGAGAGCTGGGAGAGACCGGAAGTTTTTATTTTAACATCCGGTTTTTCCACAAACAAATCTTTAAGTTTTTTTCAATTTGTATTTTATACAGGGTGGTTTATAATAAATATGATTTGCTTAAAATCATAGGAAATTGGATACTAGTAAAAATTTTTGAAGTTTTACCCGTTACATTTGTAATTATCGCATTGCTCATGAATTACATTTGTGGCATTGTTGAAAATTCCCTTCAGCGGTGAAAATTCATCATTTCTAGGATTTCCACACAAAATTGTCCACAATTTTCTTCTACCATACTCCAGTTCCAAAATGTCACCGCTAGAAGCATTAAATAAATCAAACCACTATTTTTGTAATTTATCTTGTACAAAATTATGAGACGAATGAGTCGATAACGCAGTTACTCTTTCTTGTATAACTTTGTATGCAATTGTCATATTATTTTTGAGAGGTGAATGTTACACCTTTGCATCAAAGTCTTATCAACACCTTAAAACGATAAAATAATGTCGTGTATTCTCAACCGTGCAAATTCAAGTGTGTCATTCGTTTTGCAGTGTTCCAAAATGTCGCATCTACGCATGCTTAGTTGGAATGTTCAATTGTTTCAAGCGCCTATTTGTGTATCTGCTTATGGTGTACAAAAAGACAGGCCATAATGCGATTGTACTTTATCGTATGGCTCTGTATGCAATTATTACGTCATAATATTCTTGAGGGGTAAATGTCGTCATTGTTACACTTTTGCATCATAACTTTTTCTCAAACTATCCATCATTTTAGAGCCATTTACAAGGTGGACTATTCTGCTTTTAAAATATCGCTTTATAAATCTTCCTATACAGAGTGATTCAGTTATAAATGTCATTAATTTTAAGGGAAGATAGGGAAAAATGAGTAGGATACGAATACGTGACTAAAAAAATTTTAAAATGCGTATTTACGCTGGAAAAAAATGTTTTCAAATCATTATTTAAATCCCTTTTCGGTTGAGTGAATCTTGACCTTCCTTATTCGGTCACTAACCTAGCTTTTATTGTGTTTTTAATAGTGAACGACAAAAACAGAGCTTTATCTAGACACCTGAATGAACAAGATATTTTTTTACATTTTAAATATTAACTAGTATTATTTGTTTGTTAATAAAAACAAATGAATAAGGATAATAAATGTTTTCGAATGTTGGGTTAGTGCAATTTAGTTGTACATTTCCACTGTTTTATAATTGAATATGAGTTGTTAGTATTATGTTCGATTAATTATTTAGTTTGTAGTACATATACTTTATTGTGTGCGGCTAAAAAACATTCACTCATCCGTGCATAACACTTTTGGTCCAATCAAATTAGATTTTTACGTGCCAAAATTTAGTTCAGTAAACAGATATGTAAAAATTTCATAGAATTAAATGAACTACTTTACCCCCAGCTGAATGTTAGGGCTTCGTTTTCCAATGCAAAGTTTGCAGAAAACAGTTTTTTTGTATTAAAAAAAAGTTGTAGAACTTTGTATAACAAAAATTTTGTACCCAAGCTGTTGTCAATTAAGAAACAAATGTATTAGTTATTGCAAAAACGGCTAAAAATCAAATTTTTTAAACTTCTATATCTTGAAAATGAAAAGATTTTTTTACGAAACTTTCAGAATATGTAGTCCTTGGCAAGTAGAATTTGTACATTTTTGTAAAATTGTAAAATATTTTATAGTTTTTTCAAAAATTGAGTTTTTCGAAAAAAAGATATTTTTTTTCATGTTTCAATAAATCGTACAGAAATGCACTTACGTGACCCATCTTGGGCTGAAACAGGGTTTGTAGCGGCTTGGAAAACCGAGAAAAGTCCGGGAATTCATTATTCTTCATAAAAAAACAGGGAATAGTCAGGGAATTTTAAAAGTATTCATGAAAGTCGGGGAATTTGATGTTTGCAACTGGAAATTTTGTGAAAGCCGGCCCTGGGTTCTTGAAAAACTATTTGTGGTTTTGAAACCTTTGTAAGAGGTTCTTTGGGTTTATAAAACATTATGGAGTCCAGTTTAGAAAAAGTTTAATGCATGAACACCAATTAGTGTGTAAAAATTCAGGGAATTCTATCTTTTATACTTTTCAACTATAAACCCTGTTAAAATTTTCTTAAAAGTTGTATACTTTCTTGTGCAAATTGCGTATTGCAAAATAATTGAAAATATGCGAAAAATCTACCGAAACTTTGAATTCCTTTTTCGTGTTGAAAAATGTAGATCTTATCGTTGAAATTTAATTGAAAGAACTCAGCTGAGTCACAGTCTTTCTCCCCCTACCATGCTCATCAAAGGCAGTCAATCATTGCGGACTATTTTTTATATTGAAGTAAAAGTATTCAACTACAATATTTGTAAATTTCAGGCCCTAATATTAATAATTGAGGTCGTAGTGATTTTTTGAAAAAAAAATAAAAATTCTGGGCTCCTATTGGTCATAGGACTTTTTTATTTAATTCATGAAAAATGTCAGTTTTGAAATGACAATAATGCCATTCCTATTAAATTCCAATGATAAGAAAAAGACCTAGATTTTTCAACCCAAAAAAAATGTCAAACTTTCGGTATATTTTTCGAATATTTCTAATTATTTTGCAATACACGCACAATTTGCACAGGGAAGCACAACTTTTAGAGAAAGTTTTAAGCCCAAGATGTAAGTGCATTTCTGTACGATTTATTGAAACTTGAAAAAATGTATTTTTTTCGAAAAACTTAATTTTTGCAAAAACTATCAAATATTTTACAATTTTACAAAAATGAACATATTTTACTTGCCAAGGGCTACATATTCTGAAAGTTTCGTAAAAAAATCTTTTTTTGTTTTAAAGATGAAAAAAAAATCGATTTTTAGCAGTTTTTTGCAATAACTAATACATTTGTTTATTATTGTTTATCAATTGATATCGCAGTGGGCTCAAAATTTTTATTATAAAAAGTTCTAAGTTTAGTGTTTTTTTATTGAAAAAAACTGTTTTTCGTGAACTTTCGACACCATTTTGAAAATGAAACCCTAACATTCAGCTGGACTAAAGTAGTTCACTCAATTTTACGGAAGTTTTCCTAATTTTTACATGTCTGTTTACTGAACTACATTTTGTCAAAAAACCGAGGTATTTTCTACAATATGACTGGCCAGTTTCTTAAGTTGGGATCCACTGCATGCACTTTGAATTTGAAACCATCTGTAAGACGACTGGGAAATCAGCATTTAACAGGGGGTCAAGGGGTAATTTGCTTATTTTTGAAAAATTGTAGTAAAATTTTGTTCTCAATTCTCTGTCGTTATTAAACCTTCGGAATACTTGGTTAAAATTGATGACATTATGACTGAATCACCCTGTATAGTTAAGTTACTTTGGTTATGAATTGCGTAACAAAGAGTGACCGCAGAAATCGCCCGTTTTTTCACAATTCGCAGAGAACTAAAGAAAATAGATAAAAATATGTCTTTGGTTTCAAATTACTCGTCGTAAAAAATTAAGATGAGCATATCTTTGTTTTGAAATTTTTCAAAAATCGCACCTATTTAGGGGTTAAAAGACGCCCAAAATGAAGAATTGAATATTACCAGTAAATATAAAAACTATTAGCATGTGAATTTTTCTTTGGAATGATTCTTGATACAAAGAAAGATTTATTCTCACGACTGAAAAAAACATGTTGAATTAGAAAATCCACCCTTAAGCACGCTCAAGGGGTGGAATCATCACCAAAAATAGAGAATATCGCAAAAAAAATCCAAAAAAAATATATAAAGATAATTCACATGCTAATAGTTTTTATATCAATTGGTAATATTCAAATTCCTCATTTTTGGAATTTTTTCAACCCCTATTTAGGGGTGATTTTTAAAATTTTCAAAATACTAAAAGCTATGCTCATTTTAGTTTTTTATGACCAAAACCATATTTTTATGTATTTTTTTTAATTCTCTGCGAATTGTGAAAAAACGAGCGAAAATCATAGGTATTTTGCGGTCGCTCTTTTCATCGCATATTTAGCGGTACAGGGAGGTTTAAATCCCATTTTTCCTTTCTCTTCCTCAGAACGTACTGAAAATGAGAATACGAATTTCCTATGCCATCGACGGGAACCCCATCCAGGACCAGACGGAGGTGAACAACTTCCCGACGGACATCTGGGATTGACGGAGAGGTTGCGGATAAGGGACACTGCGTGGATCCTCTCGTATTGTTAAATATTTATAAATATACAAGTCTATTTTTTATCGTAGACTTCCGTATAAGTAAAATTTAATATTTTCTATAATTAGATTTAGTTATTTTTTAGTGAGACTACACCCTGTAAATAATTTTAACATTGAGTACTTAATTACTATTAATGTGTTTTGCGTTAACGGTTATTATTGTTGTTGATTTCTCCGCTATCAGGAAGGCCCCAACAGCTGTCGTCGAGGGCGGGCAGCCCCCCGCGAACTGGTATTTTTTTACTTTGTCGATTGTAATTTTAAAATGTGATCCTTACATAATCATGCATTGGTTAAGTTTTGTTTAATGCTTGATTTGTTATACCATGTTATTTGCGTCCATACTATTAGATCAATAAATTGTAAATAATTATTTGGATGTTCATTTCTTCCGCCCGGGCAGAAGTGCTTAATCTACAAGGTCGGAAAGTCCCCATGGTTCATCGTCCGTTAGGTGAGAGCGATAAAGTAATAGAAATCCGTGCGATAGACAAAGGATGGCTATAATGAAGGCGTCTCATAGTCACCGCCTGTTTCGCCCTTCCACAAATAAGATCCACTTCCACTTGTAATTCAGCTACCGGTGGTCATCTTTGTTTTTATCGTTTGCCTTTTCTTTAATAGATGTCACCACTTATTATTAATTATTAACTTATTAACAGTTTTCAAAATACACCAAGTATTAATGTTGGGGAGTGTCATCACAACGTGACAACAGCGCTTAACCTGCTGATGCACACTACGTGTGCACGCGGCAGACTTGTCCTACGGAAAAAATGTAAACAACTATTATGAAACATTTAGTAAATTTATATGTTTATATTACAAAAATCCAATAAACAATGTAAAATAATTTTTTTTTTTTTGGAATAACGATTTACTTTATGCAAAATTCAAAATTTCCTTGCAGAAAGTCATAATTTCAAATTTTCAAATATATATACAGGGTGATCCAGATTTTAATAGACAAACTTCGGGAAAATACTAAACAACAAAAATTAACTTCACTTTGCTCTATGAACATAGGCGCAGAAAGCCACCGTTTATGAGATACAGGGCGATGAAATTGATAAAAATAAAACAATTTTTTTAAATATCTGGAAAACCGCTTCATCAAATTTATCCAAATTTGGTACACATTTTTTTTCAAATATTTCTCCTAATTCTGTATGTAGACGGTCCAAATCCAAAAACCAGTGGCGGAGAAACAAGGATATCGTTTCCTTATTTAAAGTAAAACTTCTATGCCACTGAATTAATTGGTAATATGAATACATTTTATAACGGTCTGAAACATTCTTTTATTTTTGTCGAAAAGTAATTGGTTTACGAGTTATAAAACAAATTATCCAAGTAAACATGTTGCCAACTAGACTAAATTCCGATCTGATTTAAAATTTTTTGGACAATAGCCTCTTCTAGTTAATGGAGGACATACCTTCAGATTAACGAATTGGGACCTGGTTTCAAATGGACGGGGCGCCAGCACATTCTGGCCAGGTAGTTCGTGAATGGCTGACAAACAAATACCAAAACAGATCGATTGGTCGGAATGGCCCCATACCTTGGCCACCTAGATCACCTGATCTAAATATTTTGGATTATTTTATTTGGGGCTAACCTAGGAAAATGACGTTTATGCCGTTCCTATAGCAAATAGGGACGATCTAGTGCAAAGGCTAAATGGGGCCTGCACTAATTTGAGGCAAAATCCAGTTTTAATCAGAGCTGCTGTGAATTCTATAACCAAAAGATGCCAAAAGTGTATTGAGTTTGGCGATGGACACTTTGAGTGATTGATTTAATTTATTTGTTTTTCATATAACTTTACTTGTTCGTGTTACTTGAAAGTTGAGTTCGACATGCTTGCTATGTTAGTGAAAAATATGTATCAAATTTGGATAAATTTGATGAAGCGGTTTTCCAGTTATTTAAAAAATATATGTTTGTCTATTAAAATCTGGACCACTCAAATTCGTTTTATTTTTCCCTATTTCAACGTTTTGTTTATTTGGATAATATGTCTCATAACTCGTAAACCATTCACTTTTCGACAAAGATCGACACTTTTCAGTGGCGTAGAAGTTTTACTTTAAATAAGGAAACAATATCCTTGTTTCTCCGCCACTGGTTTTTGAATTTGGACCGTCTACATACAGAATTAGGAGAAATATTTGAAAAAAAATGTGTACCAAATTTGGATAAATTTGATGAAGCGGTTTTCCAGATATTTAAAAAAATTGTTTTATTTTTATCAATTTCAACGCCCTGTATCTCATAAACGGTGGCTTTCTGCGCCTATGTTCATAGAGCAAAGTGATGTTAATTTTTGCTGTTTGGTCTTTTCCCGAAGTTTGTCTATTAAAATCTGGACCACCCTGTTTATACATATACAGGGTGTTTGGTAAGTCGATGCATTCCTTGCTGGAGATTATAGTACAAGTGATTTGTGATATATTTCCTTAATATACCATATTCCGAAAATGCATAGTTTCTGATCTACAGGGTGATAAAATTTTAATAAAAAAAATGCAAAGGACCCCGCACAAATCTTATGGAAATTGGCTCCCGGTCAAATTCGCTGAATTTTTGATATGTGATAGAGTTCATCATACTGGTCAATTGTCTCAATGGCCATCCAGGACCAGACGGAGGTGAACAACTTCCCGACGGACATCTGGGATTGACGGAGAGGTTGCGGATAAGGGACACTGCGTGGATCCTCTCGTATTGTTAAATATTTATAAATATACAAGTCTATTTTTTATCGTAGACTTCCGTATAAGTAAAATTTAATATTTTCTATAATTAGATTTAGTTATTTTTTAGTGAGACTACACCCTGTAAATAATTTTAACATTGAGTACTTAATTACTATTAATGTGTTTTGCGTTAACGGTTATTATTGTTGTTGATTTCTCCGCTATCAGGAAGGCCCCAACAGCTGTCGTCGAGGGCGGGCAGCCCCCCGCGAACTGGTATTTTTTTTACTTTGTCGATTGTAATTTTAAAATGTGATCCTTACATAATCATGCATTGGTTAAGTTTTGTTTAATGCTTGATTTGTTATACCATGTTATTTGCGTCCATACTATTAGATCAATAAATTGTAAATAATTATTTGGATGTTCATTTCTTCCGCCCGGGAAGACCTACTTAATTTATGTCTGATGGTGACGAGAGGAACGTTGACATTACATCGCCAAACGGAATGACACGTTCGAATGCTGCTTGCTAAATAGCAATATATATGGTGTAAGAAGTTTGACCGCCATTACTTCAGCATGAGTAACCATAAATGAACAAAAAAGTTGTATATTACTGGGGCGTAAGATTAACAGTTTCCAAAATACAGCGAGTATTAATATTGGGGAGTGTCATCACGACGTGACAAAAGCGCTTGACCTGCTGATGCACACCACGTGCGCACGGCAGACTTGTCCTACGGAAAAAATGTAAACAGCTATTGTGAAACATTTAGTAAATTTATGTGTTTATATTACAATAATCCAATAAACAATGCAAAATAAAAATTTTTTTTTGGAATAACTCGCGATTTACTTTAATTTATCCAATATTCAAAATTTTCATGCAGAAAGTTATAATTTCAAATTTTCGAGTAGATTATACATATACAGTGTTTGGTAAGTCGAAGCATTCCTTGCAGGAGTATATAGTACAAGTGATTTGTGATTATTTCCTTAGTATACCATATTCCGAAAACGCTTGTTTCCGATCTACAGGGCGTTGAAGTTTTAATAAAAAAAATGCAAATTTATAAATATTGCGGAAACAGTTCAGAATATTTTAATGAAATTTTACAGGCTTTGACAATTAACAACAATACATGTTTTACAATAGAAATATGGTTTTCAGTTTCACCAATGGCGCGCGCACAGGCTTGTCTTTGGATATTTTTAAAGAAAAAAATGATACGACTGTTTTTCTTGAGTTTTTGACGTTTTTGAGTTAAAAAAAAATAAAATAAATTTATTACATGGCATAATTCGATTTAAAAAATTTTAAAAATTGAGAAATTATGCACAGGTTTTTTTGTACCAATTTTATTACAAAAAATTATTATTCCTCGCAGTTATCAATATCAGTCTAAACAAATTTTATCAGTTTTTAGATTCACTATCTAAATAGAAATTAGCAAGTTGGCGGTGCACTCGTTTTTGTTACTGTTTGACAAAACTAATAATAGCTGTCACTTTGAGTATATGAGTGTGAAGCACTTAAGTGCATAATTTCTGCCATTTTTCAAATTATTGAAACCGAATTACGCCATGCAATAAATCGATTTTAAGTTTTTTACTCAAAAACGGTGCGTCATAAGAAAAACAGTCGAGATACCTTTTCTCTACCAAATTGAACAAGGAACTGAAAAATAATTTTTATTTTAAGAAAAATCAGTGGTGTATCTTTTTTTTTAACAGTATTGACGTGCCTGTGCGCACGCTACTGGTGAAACTGAAAACAATATATTTATCGTAAAACAGGTATTGTTGTTAACTGTCAAAGCCTGTAAAGTTTCATTAAAATATTCTGAATATTTATAAATTTGCATTTTTTTTATTATATGGTGTAACAAAAATTAATAAATTTCTGAATATCAAAATATATTATCTGTCATTCTGTGTAGCGGGAAAATATATAATATTTACAAAATAAGTGACTGATTTAGATAAAAATTTCATCTTCGTCGAAATCTTCTTGGTAATCTTCGTCGATTAAGTATTGTTTTGGCCGTGCCAGCTCCAGGATCCTCGGTGTTGGTACATAACTCAGAGCTTTTGCGCTAACTGTAGACTGGAATGAATCCTGCAAAGACATCGTGCGACTTCCTTTGGGAATTATGGTTTTGGGTTTAGCCAGCGATTGTATCCGTTTGGAAGCTGAAATACAAATAACTTTACTCTTGAACGGTTGTTACTATTATTATAAGTACTAATTTATTTTATTTGGGAATTAATACATTACCTAAAAAATTTGCGTAGGTATAGACGTAATCTCGTGTAGAAATATATAAACTTACAAATCATACAAGACTATTTCCCTTGTATTGTTAATATTTTTTATGAAAAAATTGTAAAATTATCAACCCTGTTATCTTACTGTCATCCTACCTTTATATTTCAACGCGCTTTTTGAAACTTTCACGGTTTGGTTTCCTGGCTGCTCGTATCTCCGTTTTGGCGACGCCAGTCTAGAAATACTTTCTATATCGTCTTCTACTGGAATATTTTTTGTTTTAACCTACAAAATATCATCGAGAAAAAAATTACAACAGATCGTGAACTGAAAAATCCCAGAAATTAGTTTTACGTTTTTGCGTTGCTTCTTTCTAGTTCTTGCCGATAGTTTTATTGTGGTTACCGGTACAACAGCCGAGTCTATGCTTTTGTATTCTTCTGGAATGCTTTTGGATGAGTCATTTGAAAATTTCTGGTCAGTTTTCATTTCACTTTTCACTTGAAATTTGAGTTATGCCGACTTTTATTGACAGCTTCTATCGTGACAAAGCAACGCAAATGGACCAAAATATTGTGGCCGCAACTTTGTAACTTTCAAAACCAGCGAAAGACGAAAGACATTTAGAATGTTACAGTGACGAATGCGACTTGATTTCTCCTTAAATTCAATTTATGTATTTAGTTTCTCTTAATTCTCTTATCATGGCATCATCACATTTAATAAGTAATAAATGGCTTTTGAATTATCCGCGATAATTTTTAAGATGGAAGCGCACCAAGCGGCGAAAGCAGTAAGCTGAAAGCTCCGAGACAAGGTAATTTTGACTTTTGACATTGCCGTTCGTGTTTACACCTTCGTTTGAACTTTTGAACAGCATTTGTCTTATTTGCCATTATTATTAGTAATTTTGTTATGAAACTGCGGTTATTTGACTTTTGTGTTATTTTATAGGTTTCAAATATTTCATAAATAAATTTTAAGGCAAGTATTTATGTCTACTTTATTTGTCTCTAGCATTACAATTTAATGTACATTTTACTAGGTTAACTTATAACTGTTTTATAGTCCTTGGTTTTATACAATGCTGTGTTATAACTATGAACTTATCCGTTGTGGAATTCATTTCCTATTTACATATATACCAACGAAAACTCTCGTATATCAGAAGGAGAGGCAGTTTTTAACGCTGATCATGTGGTACTGTACTGTATGGGAAAATTGGGCAAAGTTAATTTAAATTTAGAAATTTATATTGTGTCTGCAAACTAGTGAAGGAATGTTTACCTTGTTTACCTTGTTACCAGAGGGCGAGCTCTTAGCTGCATTCGCGAATAGACTAAATTTAAATACTCTCAGCATTAATGCGTATAAAAATTTATAGATGGCGTTATGTTCGGAGATATATTTATTGTTCGATTTTCCATCTTTTTTAACTCGCTTCGTTCGTGCGCTCAACTCCGCTCTCGTGGGCAATAATAAACAACTTATCGCACTTATTGCACGATATATTATATTGTTACTAGTTTTAAAATTATAAAAAAAAGAGTAATGTATAAACAGTTTCCACAGATTAAACACTACAGAAGAAGAGTAGATGGCGCTGGCAATCGATAATAATAAACTCGGACTACCTGTTAACCTGTTATTGGTTTTCTCTACGAGATAGTTGATCCAAAGTTGCGGGAAACCAAGGGACTTTACATTATTTGCATTTATTCTGAATACATTTTAAAATGCTATCCGTAGTTTCCTCTAGACATCAACACCATTGATTTACAAAGAGTTAACTCTATTAACCATTAGATGGCGCTAATGCCTCATTGAAATAAACCCTATATTAATTTTTGTAAATAAACTATAATGTGCTTGCTTGAAAAGTTACTTTATTACTTAGTTACCTTTTACCTTATGATTACTGTTTACATGTTGCTGAAAAGTTACTATTGTTACTACAATGGACAAATGGTTAGCTTCTCTCTCTCGGTTTGGCAAGATCTAGTATACGGGGTGTTGCCTTATATTTAAGGGCGTTCTTCGGTATGGCCCACGGATCGAAATCGTCGTCGTCTTTGGCCTTTTCCCTCGTCGTTCTTGGTACGGACAGCGCCTCTGTTCTGGGCGTTACTAAGAACAGAATAAATTATTTTAGTTTTACACGCAGTATCAGTGACTTAGGGGCTCAATGTCAGAGGTCTTTATAGTGTAGTAGTTGTACTTAAATTAATGAGTGACTTACTTTTGTATCTCAGGGCGGCTCTCTTAACTACTCCCGGTTGCAACATTTTGGGCAAATTTTCAAAACGCTTGGGAAGTTTTGCCAGCCTGAACACTACTTCCGTTGGTTCGTAAGTCAGAGCGTGAGGGTTCACCTAAAAGAATTATGTTGTGATTGTTGTGTTGTGTGAGCTTAAAAAAATAATAATTTTAAATTTCTCACCCCTTCTCTCTTTGGCGGTTGTATTATATAGACCTTCGGTGAAGCCAAAACGTCGAGGTGTGCGAAGTTATGGAATTGTTTCGGTCGCTGTAAGAAATTAGGTTTTTTTAGTTTGCACTAATTAGTTGTACCTACATTGTTTTTGTGAAAAATCGTATCTGTACCATAACAAACTTAATCTAAATTGCTAAAATGGTTTATTTTCAACATGGAAGCTACCTCTGAATATAGCCCACCCTATATATATGACTGTAACTACCTCTTTCGGTGGTGGCGGTACGAAAACTTTTTTCGGTTTGGCCAGCGTTTCCATCTGCTCGAACACTTTGGGTTTCCCTTTCCCCTTTTCGAGCTCCTTATCTTTTTTCATTTGCCTGAAACCGCAAACGCGTTTATTTACAATTTGAATAATTCACCGTCTGTTTGCTCACTTTAATTTCTTATCCCTCTCTCTTTTCCTGTAGTAGTTGTAAATCGAATTCCAAGCTTTGTTCAGGTTTGTCCTGAATCTCTTCCGCATCATTTTGAGGTTGAAGTACATTTTCTTGTTGTGTATCAAATTCCTGTCGAATTAAATATTAAAAAAATTAAAAACTTCTGGTTTTTCTTTTTGTTCCAATATGTGTTTTTTAAAATAGTGGAAGTAAACTATAAGATTTTAAACGGATTGAGCAAAGAAACCAAGTAATTAATTATTATTAGTTCTAAGTACATATTTCTCAAATTTCCATTTTTTTCTGTTTTGTTTGTTAGTTTCTCTTCAAACGGATTATGTTTTACTTTCCCTTTGAGTTGTTTTTTTAGAAAACCGTAAATAATTTGGGTCATACACTAGTTGTCAAGTTGATTAAAAAATAAAAACGAAATGCATTGAAATTTGTATATGCAAATATCTCGATACATTGTATGTCTACCAAGCTCTGTCCTGCACATGTAAAAAATTATTATTACTACTAGTACTGATTAGCGCTTATCCATCTTAGGTCACCGAAAACGATCGAAAGAGATCAAAGTACCAACGACGCCGACGGAATGAAACGAGGTTTCAGTTCTGTGTTTGATTACACAGCCCCACAAAAAAAAAGTGGCAGGTCCGAAAGACAAGACCATGGTATCCATATGGTTTTGGGGTTGCTGAATCCGAATCCGGTGTCCGTTTGACACGATTAGCTCTGGTTTAAGGTCAAATGTAGAAAATCAATTGTCAACAAACTAAACCTATGTATCTATACGTTTTTGGGGTCGCTGAATCCGAATCCGGTGTTCGTTTGACACGATTAACTCTAGTTTAAGGTCAGTTCAAGGTCATATGTAGAAAATCAATTGTCAACAAACTAAATCTACGTATACGTTATACGTTTTTGGAGTCGCCGAATCCGAATCCGGTGTCCGTTTGACTCGGTTAGATCTGGTTTAAGTTCAGTTCAAGGTCAAATGAAGAAAAATCTATTGAAAACAAAGTAAACTTACATATCTATACGTTTTTAGGATCGTTGAATCCGAATCTGATGTGCGTTTGAACCGATCAGGTCTATTAAATACATTCTAATAGAAAAAGATCAACATACGAAAGATGCTTATACATATTTTTTGGTTTTAAATCTAACTGAAATATTTGATTGCGAGTTTGAGCAGAGAGAAAGGTTTCACCAAGATATTAAAGAAGGAGGAAATTTGGATTTGGATACAGCGACCCCAAAATCATATAGATATATAGGTATACTTTGTTGATTCTCTATATTTGACCTTGAACTGACTTTAACCCAGAGCTAATCGGATCAAACAGACATCGGATTCGGTTTCAGTGACCCCAAAAACGTATAGATACGTAGGTTTAGTTTGTTGGCAATTGATTTTCTATATTTGACCTTAAACTGACCTTAAACCAGAGCTAATCGTGTTAAACGGACAATGGTTTCGGATTCAGCGATCCCAAAACCATATGGGTACCATGGTCTTGTCTTTCGGACCTGGCACTTTTTTTTTGTGGGGCCGTGTTATTATTCTTAGTTCTAAACTTACTTCAGCGCAGGCGTAGCTAGTTGGTCTGAGTAAAAAGCCATCTCGGGATCCAGCTTGACTTCCTCCGGTCTTTTATACTGTATAGGTTTCCCTTCTTCGTCAGAAACGTACTTGGGTGTTACACGATTCGGTTTCGACAGCTGGTCCAACCTCCAGTTGTGCTTGTACTTTTTTAAAATCGCTAGTATCTTGTCTGGAACGACCTTTTTTGGCGGCGGTGGTGGTTTATAGGCAAAGGGGAAGACCTCGATGCCGACGGTGTAGCAGTCCATTTCGGTGGCGTCCATTGTGGCTGGGAATGGTGGTGAGATGAAACTGGATGATTTGAAAGGGTCTGACGAAAGTGACTGAAGTGTTTGACAGAAGCAGGTTGCGTTGATAGTCTCTGTTTATTTATATCATTTTTGAGGCATAATAACTTTCCAAAATTCTAATGATTATAAAAACATTAAATTAAGCCACGACTACATTTCAAATTACATTAAAAACTGAAAAATCGCCAGGTTCATCTATTAGTTATGCTGTTAACTGTTGAGATAGAAACGTATCTTTATTAAAAAGTTATACACTTGGACATAGGCGAATCAGTAACACAATTTATTGTTAATACATATAACACATATAGACATATAGAGAAGTACGCATACAGATACATCTATATGAACATTCGGATATACAGGGTTGGAAAGTACCGATGGTCTATCTGAAGTTACGTGAGAGCGATAAAGTAAGCCATAGAAATCCATGAGATAAAGAAGGATGGCTATAATGAAGGCGTCTCATAGTCACCGCCCGTTTCGCCCTTCCGCAAATAAAATCCACTTCTTATTTGTGGAAGGGCGAAATGGGCGTATTGTGTGTATGGGGTATTGTGACCATCCTTGACTATGACGATCTAGTCGCCGCGGTTTTTTCACTATCTGTATTCAGTTTACTTATTAATGATAATTACGTACCAATTTTCTTCTGATCTAAAATAAACCTATTACTTTACAGAATATACCTCAGTACTTTGTTTATTTTTTTTACAATAACCTCGCAACTTTTTAAGATATTTCAATGATTAAATTTGACATAAGAGAGTTTTTTGACAGGCAAACATGAATAACAATAAAATTCTGTTTTCCTAAACCAGGGGATCGGTAACATCACCTTAGACGGTGTTTTGTTTTATACTACAACTTTTTTATTTACAGAGCTTTTGAGAAAACTAAAGGAATTTTTGAAACCTCGCTTTATCCACCGTAAAAAAATTTAATTAGTATGATGAATTTTAAGGAGGTTTATCGGGTACGGAGGTACGTCTATAGTCTAACGAAAGTTTCTGTAGATTCACTAGTGACTAAAGTAGTAAGCCTTTAGATTTGGCAACGTTGCACTTAGCTGGCGCGCTCTGCTCGACGTTCGCTCGCTCCCGTTCAATCATTCTGTTTGTTTGGAGTTTTCAGCCACGAAATTTGAATAATTCTAAATTTTTCGAATTTTCACCCCCAAGAACGGCGGTGACATTTTTTAAATTATGGCGATGTTTCGCATGGTCCTGTACACATTTAGTTTCGCGCAACTCACTCGGTTTCAAAAATACAATACCTATGTACGTTTTCAGCCACGAAATTTGAATAATTCTA